AGGGTGGGGAATGGGGGTCACAAAAGCCATGAGGGCCTAAGGAGCTGTGGGATTACAGGCAGCTCCGGGGAATGGTGGGAGAAGAGGGCACAAAAGGGCACAATAGTCTGGTTTGGCCTAAGAAACTGCAGGGTAGGGGTATGGGGTCAGGTGAAGAGGGACAGGTGTAGCCTTAAAGATCATGGCTGGGGGGTACCTCCACCTCCAAGAGTACTAGAGGGGTGCCGGACACACAACAGTCAGTCACTTCCTCAGACTCAGGGAAACGTTTACACCAATCAAAAGGGAAGCTTACCTAATTGGTGCTGGTAGATAGGGTGCTGAGCGATCAGTGAGCCAGAAGCTGAGTTTGTTGTGGGTGGACTGGAGATGAGGGATAGGGTCCCATGCAGCTTAGACCATGAAGGGAAACACAGGCACTAGGAGAGTCTATCTGAGTCAAGGCACCAGATATAAGCATTGCGGCTGGCAGCTGGGAGCCAAGGAATACTGTAAAGTCACACTGTACAACACACTTCACACAAGGTATTTATTGGGAGGGAAAAAACCAGGAGGGTGGCTGCCTCTGCTCGATTGAGAAGCAGCAGCAAACTGGACAGGATACAGAGTTTATAGAGCTTCTTGGGAAGGGGGTGGAACTTTTCAGGGTGGAGATTGGTGGGATTTTGTGTCCAGAGATTGGGCTTTTCACTCTGTAGGGTGGGGGCAGGGTCCAGCAGTTAGGGCAGTTAGAGCATTCTGTGGGTGGAACCTGGCAGAGTTCCTCAGGAGAGGGACTTACATCTGGCAGCACCAATCTACTTCAGAGAATATGATGAGCACTGAAGAACCTCCATGTGGAGTTTGCTTTGTGGCAAAAGTTAGCCACTGGGCAAGAAACTTCCCTCGCCTCGACTGCTGACAGTATGCTGTCCAAATTGGACAAGCAGGACACAAAAGAAAATGACTGCCAAACTTTGCCAAGACAAGGTGGGGCAGTCCTTCAAAATTCCTGCTTTACAGAAAAGTCTGTCAGATATTCTAGGTGGAAGATGGATGCCCCAGTGTTGCAGAGGAACTGGGGTGACTGCCCAGGCGGCCAGCTGTTTCTGTCATTTCTATAGTTTTGGAAGTTGTTTGCTCTGTACTTTCTGTCTACTCAGGTAGTATTCTTGGGTTTCTAATGGAGTTGAAGATTAGATAGTTATAGGTACAGTTTTCCTTGTTACCAAAGTCAGAAAAGAAACTTCCCAAAGAGATGTAAAGTGTATAAGGTTGAAAGACACAAAAGCTTAAATTGTTTATCTAAGAAAATGTTTTGAGGTCTAAAAACATAGTTTTGGGTTGATATTACAAGGTAAGATAGAAAGTAAATTAGGTACAAAACTTTTGACTCACCAAGATAGGACAGATAATGGAGTATTACCATGTGGGTACTGGGAATTGAAACAGTGTCCTCTGGAAGAGCAACCAGTACTTTTAACTGCTGAGCCATCTCTCCAACCCTATGTGTGGTATATCTTTATTTTCTGATTCATTTTGTATATTTTCTGCTTCATTGCTTCAAGGACGCTTGTTTTCTTTTATTGAAGAATGGTACTAGAAACCAAGATCTCAGGCTCAGCCAGTAAAGGTGCTTGTCACCAAACATGATAACCGGAGTTTGATTCCAGGGAACCACATGTGGAAGAAGAGAACTGATTCCTGCAGACACACACACACACACACACACACACACACACACACACACACACTACACTGGGTGTGCTCTTTGCTATAGAGTACAATTGCCTCTAGCAAAGAAATACATATGTGTGTGAACCCATGCATATTGCATTTCTGTATATATTTTAAAACAGATTTCGCCAAGTTTATTTGTAAAAACAGCATTGGACACTGACCACCTGCAAACAGTGTGTAGGTGTGTCACACACCAGTCCATCTGTCTTCACAATGGCAGAGAGAAACCTTTTCTATAGGCCTTCGCACCTTTGAAAGGCTGAACTGGAGCTGAAGCCTGGGTCTGAGTTGGAGCTACGGCCTCAGCCTTGATTTGGGCTTGGGCTGTAGCTGATATAGCCTGCAAACCTTGGCTGTGTAGCCTGGAATCTGCTTCCCAAGCTTGGGGTGAGTGTTGAAAACAAGGCAGCCGAGCTTGCAGTTGGGGCCCTTTGGCATCTCGAGCTTAACTGCCTTGGGCTTCCCCAGGGCCTTGATAGCCTTTGTATGTACATCCACTGCCTTCGCATCCTTTGCCTGCATCTTCTTCAGGCCTTTCTTGTGCTTCTTGGCAAAGCACATGTTCCTCAGGGACTTGGGGTCGACCCCCTTAAGAGATTCGTATCTTTGTGACCAAGGTTACTTGATGCCATGTCTGTGCCATTTTCGGAATTGGTTGTATGTGATGTGGTTCTTGGACTTTGCCGTGTCTGCATGGCAACCCATGGCTCCAGAAGTGCCTAGGACCACTCTATAAAATTTATATATATGTAACCACTCACATCCTAAATTAAGCTGAACATGAGTTCATATTGACATCTCCAATTCTCATCCAGTCTAGCTTCCTCCTCAGGAGTCATATTTACCTAAGTAGCGTTGCTCAGAAACTTGTCATATATTTTTCTTCTTCCAAAAACAAACAAACAAAAAAATGAAAAAAGTCTGAGCTTGACAGGTAACCAAAAGTCAAATTCACATGTAAAAGGGGGGAGGGGGTGGTGGTGGTTGACTTTCTGCCCAGGCTCTTCTACGTGACTCCCCACTGTTCTGAGAACAAAGAGCAAACTTCTTGGCCTTCAAGGCTTTGCAGAGACTTGGCTCCTGTCCAGCACAGCCCCATCCCCCTACCATGTTCCTGCCTGGGTCTCCCACTGTGACCACGCTTCTTCAACCCATGCTCACTGCCCTCCCTTCCACCCACCCCCAGGCATCTTCCCATGCCAGTCCTCTGCTGAATCTTTCTTCCTTGCTCTTTATCCAGCTTCCGTCTATACAACCTGCCCTTCTTGGCTCAGTCCTTACTTCTGCTGGAAAGCCATCCCATCCCCAAGACTGGGCCAGCACTCTGCCTGAGACAAACAGCACACTACCTGTTCCACAGTCCTTACCTGTGGGTAGCCCTTTCTCCTGGAATATCTCAGGAATTTCTTGAAGATAGAAACGGGTTCTGCCTGGTTGCATGTATACAGCAGGAGCTCCAGAAGTGGTCATGCACTTCTCAATTCTTTATTCAAAGAGTATGTATCAAGAACCTCCGAAGTGTTGGCTCCTTTGGAAGTCTCTGGAGATACACCAGGGAAAGAGACAAAGCCTCTACTATACTCTTTTTTGTTTGTGTGTCTGTCTGTTGGTTGGTTTGTTTTTAGAGACAGGGTTTCTCGGTGTAGCCCTGGCTGTCCTGGAACACACTCTGCAGACCAGGCTGGGCTTGAACTCAGAGATCCACCTGCCTCTGCCTCCTGGGTACTGGAATTAAAGGAGTGTGCCACATCTACTGTTTTTAGAGGAATGGCCTGGGGAGGTGTCTCTGAGAAGGGGACATGTGAGCAAAGACTTGAACGAAATGAGGGACAGAGTGACCTCTGGGGATGTGCTGTGAGTCAGGACTGTGTAAGACAGGGACAGAATTATGGCCATTCTAATTGTTAGGACCTCATGGTTCCCGTAAGCCCTGAGTCATCAAGTCCAGAAACCGTATCTTACCTTCCTTACCAGCCCTCTCTCTGGGCTTGGCCTGGGCTTCCAAGAGGAAAAAGTTCCCCTTAAAACAGAAACCTGTGCACAGGGCGGCGATCCAGGTCACGGGAGTGTCTAGATGGAGGAGCCCCTCAGGGTGAGGGTGTATGTGTGAGGAAGTCAGACCGGCTGCCTTCAGAAGGAGCCTTGCAGGTGGCCTTGGAGGGCACGGGGTGTGCGTGGCCATGAACAATACCCCAGGAGGACACCCATCAGAAACAAGAGGTGGGCAGAGGCTTCGTTTCAGCCTTCACGTGGCGCCCGTGAACCATCGAGTCTCAAGTAGTGATGAGACTCTGCACCTGCAGACCTTGAAGAGGATCCTGGGTGCTACCTGGGGTGGGAAAGGCATCCCTGGTGCAGCGGGGTCTCCCCAGAGGCGGGGGAGGGGTCTTCTCCCCCGCCCCTCCATCGCCCCGCCCCGCCCCTGCGCCCAGCGCCGCGGGCTCCTAGCCTCGGGTTTCCCTGGCCGGCGCGCGCGGGCGAGACAGAGGTGTCCCTAGGGACGGCGGGGGCCGGGCACCCGCAGCCACCTCCCTCTCCCTCCCCACGCTAACTCTCCGGGCGCCCTCGCCCGCCGCGGGCGGAGCTCGATCGGCGGCGCTCCAGGATCCCCGCTCCCGCCCTGCCTTGTCCCTTCCTCCTCGGAGCCCCCCAGCGGCCGACGCGGTGCAGCCCGGCACGGCGCGAGCAGGTACGTGCGCCCGGGCAACCGCTGCGGGCGGGCAGGAAAGGGGGCGGGATCCAGGGAGGGCGAGGCGGCGGCCGGGCCGGGATCCGCGCACACCCTCGGCCGCCAGGAGCCCTGTGCTCCCGCGTGCGGAGACTGGGGAGGCCCGGCACGGCTCCGTACGCCAACCGCGAGCCGCCGGCGCAGGGCCCGAGGCGGGGAGTGGCAGCAAAGGACAGCTCTCCTGACCTCGCGGCCGGCAGAAGGACACGCGACCCGGGCACCCTAGCGCACGCCGGCCCCGCTGAGCCCAGCCTCCCCGGGCCGCCCCGCTGCGAGCGCTGACCGGCCGGGTCCGGCCTGCTCTGGCCCGTGGCGTTGTCGGTCAAGGGCAGGAGCAGGGGGTGTGAACTGCGGGCCGGCAGGCGCGGGGGAGGCGGGAGGCCGGGGCTCTGGGGCTTTCCGCGCGGAACTTTGGGTATAACAGCGTGGACCTGCGCGTGTGCATCTGCGCGCCCGAGGCTTTGTGTACTACGAGTGCGTGTGTCTATCGACTGGGTTTGCGAAGCTTCACCCAGCCTCGCAGTGTGTCGGGCTCCCGGGTGGGTGTCAGCGTGCGCCATGGGTGGGGGTGCTGGACTCGGGCAGGTCTGGGTGGTTCCGGCTTAGATCTCAGCAGCGCTAGAGGTAGTCGTTATCTCCTTTCTCCCTGTCTCTCTCCCTTTCTCATCCCGCCCTATCTCCCCCAATTTTACCCTCTTGTGGGTACCACCAGAGTGACCCGTGGATCTGTGAGTCACACTTATTTCCCAGGTGTGTGGGTATTGCTGTGGGAACAGTCCTGCGAGCTGTGAGTGTGGAACGAGGGTGGGGGAGGGCGCTTGCCTTTCAGGAACTATAGGACTGCAACTACAATAGCTGGTGCCGTTTCGGGTTTGGGGTGTGATCCGTGGGCACCAACATCTGTGTGTCTCTGCTTATGTCTGAGTAATTAATTGATGGGCATGCCCTTGAATAACTTACTAAGCATTTTATGAGAGAAATACATTCTACATCTATTAGAGAGAGGACCTCCTTGTGTCTGCCCCTTCACCCAGGCATGCTAAGGAAAAAGTTTTGGGTAAAAGAGAGTCTTGGTCTAAGAATTTGGGTGCCCCAGATATCTTCTGGGATATGGAGGCATTAATGCACCAATATAGGAAAGTGGTTATGGGCCACTCCCGAGTTCTTCAGGCCCACCGAGGGCTTGATGGGTGGGGGCCACAGTGGTACCTACTTTCAGGCTTTGAGTAGCGTTTTGTGCCAAGAGCAAAAAGCCAACTAGCGTTCACCCCCTCCCCCCTTACGATCTATCCTCTGGGAACTGAGAGCAGCCCGAGCAGGAGACCGGGAACCCAGGGAGATTGAGAGGGACCTCTGCCCTCAGGATGCCCCTGCTTGATGTCTCAAGTAAGGGCTCAAAGAGCCAGGGAAGGAAGGTGGAGTGTGTGGGTTTGCAAGCGTGTAGGGAATAGAGATTCTTGGGGGTGCCCATATTCCACTGTTCGTCCCTAGTCTGCACGCATACCATGGGGTCTTGATCATGTTTTCTAAGATGGTGATAGAGGTGAGCTATTCCTGAGTGAGATGCTGAGGCGAGAGTCTAACAGACAGTGGGAGCTCAGCAAGCGTGTATTAAATGGGCATGCTAGGGAGGGACACAGCCTTTGAACTGAGACGAAAAGCCGTATGTTTGCTAAGAGAACAAATCCGCAGGGGAAGGTCAGAAAGACTTCTCACGATCAACCCCTTGGCGTTTCATTCACTTATACCTCGCACTCACCATCGCTTCATTGATTTGCTCATGTTTGCCCAGAAACACGGGCACCCACAGAGCACTGCAGAATGACCTGAGAATACAGAGAACCAGCGTTCAGGTGTGTGAACACATCAGAGCGCGAGAGCCCACTCCATGCCTAGGGTCTCTGCTGCCTGGGCATTTGTGGGCCAGGGCTGTGGATGTATGTACCCGCAGGGCATCAGAGTATGTATGGGACATTGTGCGTCTGCTGTGGGATCAGAAGTGACGTACTGGGGAGATGTGCCTGTGGAGAAGAGTCGGGACGCGCATAGGAATGGCCCAGTTACCAATGCCAGGTGGATGTTGTGAGTGGGTGGTGGCACATGGTGGTCAGATTTGCAAGAGAAGTTGGAAATGGGAAGCTGCCGCCTCTGCATGGCCCTCGGAGTTGGCCTGACTGGGGCAGCAGGGGAACGAAGACAAGACAGACACATGGACATGGAGAAAAACTTGGATCAGGTGGTCTGGACTCTCCAGGGGAGAAGCCACAGCAATCCTAGGTCAGCGTGATTATTATATGCAGTTGGACAGAGAGGCAGGGTTATCGTATATGGCTAAATAAAGAGGCAGGGGTATTACAGACAAACAAGAGGGCAGGACTATGGTATCCTGCTGAACAATGAGGCAGGTTTAGCTAACTTGGTAAGAGCAGTCTCTGTAGGGGAAGTCATCAGGTCATGAATGTGGGGGAGGGGGAAATCTAAAATGGACATTTTCTGCACAGTGTCTACATTTGCATTTGGACCCGAGGAAGGCTTTGCCATCTCTCTGAGCCTCGTGTGGGGAAGGCTTTGTCACTCCTGTGGGACTGAGGCATTGTGGTCCTTGAGATGGCCATGCCCATGTCAACAGTACACATTCTCTGACCACTTCACCTGCTCCCTACAGGAACTCAAAGCTTAAAAGTGAAACCTTTGTTTTTTGTTTTTGTATATATCTTGGCAACTAACGCACTCAATGAATAGAATTGGAAAGGCAGTAAGCAGAACTCCAGTGGACTCAGTCTGGCCCGTGGCTATAGGTTGGTGGCCTTTAGGCACAAGGGCGTGTGTGCAGTGAGTCTGTGTGGTGTGTGTCCAGGGATTTGGTAGTGACACCTCTTTGCCCCACCCCCAGTCCCTGCTTACACTGAGGCTTTGAGCTTTGAGCTCAGTTATGGCTTTTCCGTTCTCAACCTTTCTTTCTGCCAGGCCGCATGCCCTGGGCTTCCTCCCTGGACGCTGTCCTCCATGCATCCGACCTTCTGCCTTCTAAAATCCACACAAATCCCAGCCTTTCCTGCTACAGTGACTTGAGTGCCCACTGCTTCTTGGCCTGGCTTTCACAGTCGCCTGTGAACTAGCCCAGCTGATCTCTGGGGTCCCCCTTTTCTTTCTAGAACACCCCCATTCTCTGCCTGCCAGGGAATCTCCCACTCTTTCTTTTTGTCAGTTTTAAATGCCGCCACCCCCCTCCCCCATCCCAAGCTTTCACGAGCTTTCAGCTACTAGTTCCTATAACACTTGGACTATGTCGGCCACACCCCACATCATCACCTCACCTCACACATGCTCATACAACACTGTCCATTAGCTGAACTGGCTACAACCTGTTGAGCAATACCCTTACCACAACCTGATGAGGGAGGCTTCCCACTTTACAGATGAGAACACTGTTCCTACAGAGGAGCTCAATCACATGCTTAAGCACAAGCAAGGAGGCTGGGATACGGACCTCATGTCCACTCTAAATCCCTCCATCATGATAACATCCCATCACGAATACTTACTGGGTACTCTGCTGCGCACCTTACACACGGGTTACCTCAGCCTCTCCACTGGCACTGTGCAGTAGGGAGTAGTATTAATATTGTCACCGGGGAATTTTTTTTCAATGGGAAAACTGAGACCCAGAGAGGACGATTGCACCAGCCACTGTGGAGTGGCGCCCTAGCATGGGCCCTATTGCTCTACTGTCCATAGCTCCCTACAGCTGTGCCAGGGACAAGTGTGATGTTGAGCTCCAGCAGGAGAATTCGACTGACATTCTGCTTTCTCTTCTAGCTGCCAAGGGGCCAAGGGATGAGCTGGGGCCGTTCTTCCCAATGGCATCTCCCCCTGGCCTGGAACTGAAGACACTGAGCAATGGCCCCCAGGTTCCAAGGAGACCAGCCCCACCGGGCCCTGTGGCGCCAACCAGGATGGGTGTGGAGAATGCCTGCTTCTTCTCTGAGGAGCATGAGACTCGTTTCCAGAACCCTGGGGATGCCAGACTGGGTAGCTCTCCCAGTCCTCCTGGAGGTGTCCCCTCACTGACCCGGTCCCAGCGGGATGATCTTTCTCTGCATTCAGAGGAGGGGCCGGGCCTGGAACCTGTGAGCCGCCCAGTGGACTATGGCTTTGTTTCTGCTCTGGTTTTCTTGGTGAGCGGAATCCTCCTGGTGGTAACAGCATATGCCATCCCTCGAGAGGCCCGAGTCAACCCTGACACAGTGACAGCAAGGGAGATGGAACGCCTAGAGATGTACTACGCCCGCTTGGGCTCGCATCTGGACAAGTGCATCATCGCGGGCCTGGGGCTGCTCACAGTGGGTGGCATGCTCCTGTCCGTGCTGCTTATGGTCTCTCTGTGCAAGGGCGAGCTGTACCGCAGGCAGACCTTCGTCCCTGGCAGGGGAACAAGGAAGACCTACGGCTCCATCAACCTGCGTATGCGGCAGCTCGCTGGGGATGGGGGCCAGGTCCTAGTGGAGAACGAGGTTGTCCAAGTCTCAGAGACCAGCTATACCACACAGGGCTCTTAAGTAAGAGCCCGCCCTATCTTGCTGCTTTAGCTGCAGAGCTTGGAGGGTCCCCAAAACCTGGGGCTTCAAAGTGGGATCCACAGAGGGTCCTGTGGAGGGAGTTTTGATGCAGGGGTGGGGGCAGCCAGGGTTCTGGCTTAGGCCCCACTAAGGCAAGCATCCCTGATGTGTTTTGCAGCTTGAAGTTTTTGCATAAGGCTTTGTTTGGAGGATGGGTTCTGATGCTAAAAATACATTTTTGGAAACCACTGCTCTTAGAAGATGAGGTTGCTTGGCATTTCTCAGGGTTGGGAGTCATGTGAAAGGTTGCCTCCATTCTTCATGCCTTGGGGAATTCTGAGACCTCTACTATCTTCATTAGCCAAGTAAGAGGGTTGGGAGACCATCTAGGGTAGAGTGTGGCTTCATGATGATGATGGGAGAAGTCGGTTCTGAGGTGAGCCTCCTGCAGCACCCTACTGACTGAACCATAACCCTCCCCTCTCCAGACCTCAGTTGCCCAGTCTCTAACGGGAGGAGCAGGACTGGGTGCCCTACCATGGGCCACATCTTCCCTGGGAATAGGAAGCCAGTCTGCCTCTGGCCAGCCTTCAAGGAGGGATGGGGGTGTTTGGCAGGGACTGACCATTGTCACTGCCACCTTCTGGCCCCGCATTGGTGACTACCACTGCCAGGAGCCAGTGGTTCTGTGGCCCTGCTACAGAGCCCGGGTGAGTGGGTTTAGTTCAATCCAAACTTTGACACAGTGTGAAGAGGTCTTGGGATTTTACTTCCTGTGGTGGCTAATTTTCTGCAGTGGCACATTTACAAAGCACAGTTTCTCCTGGGCACCTAGGTGTGAGGACTTGGTTGTCTTTCTGTGGGCATGTTGGGGGCTTATCACCTCAGTGGGCTGTTACTTAGGCCTGATCTCATCCTGGTAGCAGAAACAATTTTCTTTAATGCTGAATTTGTAATGTCTGCTTTTCCTTTTTAGTAAAGTTCAGTTGCCAATCATCTGGGGAGAAATAAGGCACACTTAAGTGGCCTGGATACTCCAGCCACATGGATTGCTGTTTGCATTTTTTCTTCAGTGAAATATTTCCAGGGCCCCTCCAAACTCTGTTTAATCTTCTGACAATGGAAGTAGGTGTTAGAAGGCAAGGAGACAGTGGCAGACATTTGGGGAGCATTGTCCAGTCCAGAAAGCCCCCCCCCAGACCTCCAGAGCACATACTGTCTGGGCTATGGGAAGACTCTAAAAGGGTCATTTCCAGGAGCCCTTGCTCCAGGCAAGTCCCTTGTCCTCCACCCTAGCTGCCTGCATAAGCTGAGAGCCTAGCTGTTGGTGGGGGCTCAGAACATGGGGTGACCAAAGGTCTGTGGGCTGGAGAGGTCCTGACTATGTGGAACATGAACCTTCAGCCCAGGCAGCTTGAACATCTGGGCAGTATATAATATCACAGCTTCTGAGACAGATCAAATGTCTGCTCATGTTGGCAATTTTTGCCTGGAGCAGAGGGCTGAGTGGGGGAGGGAGACAAAATCGTGCAGCTTGGCTTCAGAGGTTCTGCTCTGGTGCTGAGAGGGTGTGGCTTAGAAAGGACAAAGCTCAAGAGAGCAAAATGTTCCAGTCCCAGGACTTGTGTACATATGTCAGTTTTTCCCAGCTGAAGCAGGGAAATGCTGGACAAAATGGCAGGAAGCATGCTAGATGAATTATAGTAAGATGGGACATTGCCAGTGACGGGCCCCAGCTTCCCAAATCCATGATGATAATAAATGTATTGATCCAAGCAGTATGGATTCCTGTGGCAGTAGAGGGGGGCATGTTAGGCTACAGTGCTTACTGAGAGTGTCTGCCTGGAGCTGTCCATTCAGATCAGCTTAAACACAATGAAATGTTTTTAGGGGCTAAATCTGCTAGAAAATAAAGGAATGGCAGCCCCCCCCACCCCCGCAAGCCAGAGGAACCTGCTTTGCATTCCCGATGGGGAAACTCCTTTAGAAACCACATGTAAATGGATCAAGGCAGTCATTACCTTGTCAGTGAATTAAGACGATTTGAGAGATGCCGGAAGCATTTCCCCAAGATGCAGCTGAGATCTCCCAGCTCGGAGGACCCAGGTTTAGGAGGGAGTCGGGGAGGAATAAGGAGTGCTCTGGGTTTCTTTGGGATTCGATGTAGAGTTGTCCCTGATGTTGCTGGAACATGCCTCCCTGACTTCTAGACTGTCTCTGCCATCCCACAGACCACTAGGCCCCCAGATCTTGCTTTCCTCACTGTATCTAACAGACAGCGATTTCAGACCTGATTAAGATCAGGGTTTGAATATGAGTTCTGCCACTTACTGGCTCTGTGACCTTGGGCGAGCTGCTCCACCTCTCTGTGTAAGTGGGCCAACTGGGCCATACCGCATTCCTAGGGTGAGAAACATGGTTGGCATACATAATTTTCATGTTTGAATGAAAGGATGAAACAAAAAATTGGATTCCTGTCAGGGCAAGTGGTGCCCTATCCAAGGTCCTGGAGTCCCACAGTCCCTGCCCAGCTCCCCAGAGCCCCTGCTGTGGTCAGAATCAGTGACATAGAAGGTCCCATGACTAGAAGTGTGGTGGCTTGTCAGTGGGCTCTGCAGCTGGGACGTCCTCTCTGGGCCTTCGTTTAACTTTGTTTCAGGGATTTCCCTGATGGAGAAAGGTCCTCTTCCCAGTCCTGGCATGGCATAGCCCAGTGATAATTGGATCCATGAGACACTTGTGGGGGAAGAGGAATCTGTGACCCCTGACTCCTCTTTGCTCATCTGAGGCCCTGGGGTGTCTAGGCCCAGGCATTTGGGACCATGCCCGTCATCACCTCCACTTCCTCGCAGGTACCCTCTGGGTCTCCCAGCCATCAGGGGTTGCTGGCCGAGTCCACCACCACCGCTCCTTTTCTTGGGAGCGGCTCACTCTTCCAAAGGTCCTCCTCCCTACATACGCAGTTCTGTGCACGAGCACACACACGATGCACCCTGTCTGTACCTCTGCAGCTTTCTCATCTGACCTTGCTCGGGAGCCAAGGACTCAGCTTCTGGCTGCAGAGCTCTAAGCCAGGGCATCCTCTGGAAGCTGGTGATGGTTTTCTCCTCTCTCTACCACAGACGTGTGGTTTTGATCTTGCCATCCTCCCAACAACAGCCCAGTGTCCCCTCCATAGTCCCTCTTGTTTTCTTTCATGGGAAAGGAGGAGAGTTCGGGGGGATTCCAGAACCCTGGCTTTTGGGGAGGGGCCTGAGCTGGGAACTGGGAGAGCCATGTCATGCTGGTTACCACTTCGCTGTGGGTGACATCAAGCAGAAGGCAGGACAAGAATGTGGGAGGCTTCAAGAAGCCAGAGGTGAAGTTCTGTTAGGGGAGAGTGGGATGTCAGTGGTATGGACATCGGTGAGGAGATGTCTCCCATTCAGTTTGTTGGTTTCCTCCCTAAATTCCCCAGGGTTAGATTCATCTGGGAGAAAAGGTTGCTGGGGTCTTGGATGAACTGGAGTCACAGGGAGTGCCCGTCAGCGGAGGTATGTTAGCATTTACTTGCCAGGAGTTAGGTATCTTCAGAGATAGGGCATGGTGGGTTAGCTGGATTTAGCTGAGGCTCCTCCAAGCTTCCAAATTGTTCATTTGTCTTTAGGGACAGAGCCTGTTGTTTTGTCCTGCTCTAGCTTCTTGTCCTTGAGCCCCTGTGCATCCTCTTACCTACATCATTCCTCTTCCTCAACTGGTTCGTCCCAAGCAGATGGACAGCGTAGGACACCTGCACGGTGCGGAGGGTGGCACACAGTGCTGGAGCATCGCCTGCACGTGAATCTCAGAGGGACAAGAGGCAGAGCCCGGAGGGTCCACGGAGGCTGATTGATCACACAGTGTAAGGGACGGCTGCTCAGGTGCTTGGCGATGGCTCACTGCCTCCTGTTTCTTCTGAAAAGCAGCCGTGCTAGATGCAGCGACTTCCCTGTAAGACCGCAGTGAGGGGTAGATATGTCTGTAAAGCACTTAGCACAGTGCCCTGCATTTCCTAATTGCTCAGTAAACAGCTATTCATGTTCTCTAGTTCATCCATGGTATGACGAGTAAACACAGTCCTGGCTGGGCTGCACTTAGGCTGTCTTGTGCAGGATGGTGTGCCTGTGCTGTGCTGCGGGGGCGGGGGAGGAGACAGAGACAGGAGGACCTGTGTGAGTTGGGGGTTAGGAAGGTTCTTTTGGAAAGGGGGTGCTTAACGAGAATCTTAAACAACTAGGAAGTGTTGATGTGGAGAATTGGTGGAAGGGCTCTGGGCAGAGAGAGACATGTGATCAGAGGCTCAGAGGCCTCAGCAGCTGGTGAGATGAGGTGGACAGGTGGTACAGAGGTGACTGAGGTGTGTGCAGTGGGCCCCCCGGTGGGTGCTTGGGCTCCATCATCTGGAGAAGGGGGACGGGCAGGATACTGTGGGAAGGCTGTAGGGCATGAGTGTGGCGCTGTGGTGACAGGGTCTGTCTTCCCTCCACTTGCCAGTTGTATGGAAGGAAGACTCTTTTGTGTCGGATGCCCTGTGGGGGCAATGCTGTAGCACCCCGTGACCCTCCTTTAGGGCTCTTACTACAGCCAGGGGGACATGGTCTTGACTCCATGCCTCAACTTGGCAGCCCTTTCCTGTTTGGCTTCTGAGCCTCCAAGGTCAGGTGGCGGCTGCTGGTCTCTTGGGCTTGAGGAAAAGCAGCAAGTGAAAAGAGACTCACTAATCAGATCTGGCCCAGGGGAACAAGGACAGGGAAAGAAGGCAGCTGCCATGCCAACCTCTTCCTGGGAGGTGTGGCATCTGGGTCAGTACTGACTTCAGGGCCAGTGACATTCAGCGAATCATTCACCTATCTCTTCTTCTCTCCTCTTCTTCCCTGATAGGTTGTCTTGTGTACCCACACCTTCCCTCATTGAGCTACTCCTGGGTGAGCTGGGCCACCATTGCTGACACTCTCTCAATAGCCCCTAGTCTTGCCACCAGGTATTAAAGCAGGAGCCCAAAATGCAGATGTCTGCAGCTTTGCAGGTAATATCAGTGAGCAGAGTAGCTGGCCATGACAGTGGTGGCAAGATTAAAGGGAGTGTCTGCTCTGGCCTTGGCCATCTGTGGCTTTGTGGTCATCAGAATCCCAAGTTTTTCAATTGCAGCTGGACAGCTGGACTTTGTGGGTAGGAGGGTGTGGCAAGGTGAGAACCGTGGCCGAGGTCAAGGGAATGTCAATAAGATGTCATCTTCAGG